AAAAAAAAAAGAAGAAGAAGAAGAACTGATTGCTTAAAGAGATCCCCATACTCCTGGAGCCCAAAGTGCCCATAACTGAAGAGTGCTATGCTAAGCTCTGTGTCTCCAGCAAGAATACCTTTCCCTCCCCCAATAGTTGCATCTTTAATGTCACAATCGGTCTCAGAGACTATCATGTCTTCATCCCATCAAGCTCGTATCTTTGGTTTCTTTGCTCATCAAAGAAGATGGAGACTCCCGAGTCATCTTCCAACCTTCATCTCTTTGTAGTCCCTATTCTAACTGCACTTCCCACCCCTCCACCACACTCACCCACTCACAGAACTCTTGGGAAGGTTTAACTTGTCATCATCAAAATCCATTGTCCACTCAGCCTCTTGTTTGAACATAACCTTAACCTTCGTACACTGAGACTTGACTACCCTTTGAAAACATCTCTTCCCCAGAGTCCTCTCAAAAGGTAGATATTTTCTTTCCTCTTCTGTCATTTGGCCTGAGAGTGGGATAAGGAGACATTTGGCTCGTATTTGCCACTTGGAGGCCATTTTCTCTTTCTCCTCCCTTAAACCCTTAGCTTGCTCCTATCAGAAGCTTATTACCTTCTAGGTTTCCTTCTTGCAGGTGTCTCTAGGCCTCTGAGATTTCTGCCTAATCATTATCATCTGGTTTGCTCTCTCTCCCTCCAACTCTCTACATGTTCTCTTTCAATGTCATCTTGCACCTCCACCAAGTGCAGGAATCTATTCTCCCCACCCCTTCAAATCTGTGTGGGACCCTAGGATTGCATCTATTAATGGAATATAACTTCAGGGACACTACAATGTGGGGTTCAGCCCTTAACTGGCCTGGCAGTTTCTGCTTTCTGCCTCTTGGAGCACTCGCTCTTGGGACACTTCACTTTGGAACCCAGCACTTGTGATGTGAGAAATCTAAGTGACATGGAAAGACCACATGTTGGTGTTCTGGTCAAGAGCCTAGCTGAGATTGCAGGTAACAGCCGGCCTCAACCTTCAGCCACATGAATAAACCATCTTAGACATCCCCCAAGCTGAGTGTGCAGAAGATTGCAACTCCAGCTCCCACCTGGATGCAACCACATGAGATACCCTAATGGAGAATTGCCCAGCTAAATTGAGTTAACCCACAGTACTGTGTGAGATAACACTAAGTTGTTTTAACTAAGTTGTTTGAGGAAATTTGTTATGCAGAAATAGGTAGGCAAAACATATTCAAATGATGCTTCTCATATTATGGCCTCACAAATTCCTTTATCTCCTCTGCTTCCATGATCTTTTCTTCTAAACTACTTTCACTTAGAATCTCTTAGTCATGTGTCACATGATACCATTACTAATAACTCATAAAGTCAATTTCAAGTTCTCCTTTCTTTGGCTACCACTTCCTGTCTTTCTACTTCAATCAATCCCATGCTTCCACTCCAATAATTCCTCAACTGTCCCAGGATTTCCAATTCATTGTTCTACCCATCTTTTGATTTATTTCCCAGCCTCACTTTGATCTTTTCTCAGTTTATATTTCGAGTCCCAAGGTTTTTATTACTCCATTGCCAAGACTCTCAAGGGCTTTGCCCCTCTCTCCCTAAACTAAACTTTGCAGGAAAAATCAAAAACCCTACATGAACCCAAATCACCACTTTCTCCATGACTGTAGCTGAGCAACAGAATGTGATGGAAAGACATACATATGCGTGTGTGCACACACGTGCACACACATTCACACACATACACACACACAGCTCTGCTGACTGTCTCTCTTTACCACCTCACTCAAATGGTGTCTACATCTGCCCAACAATCCCCCTAGATTTCCCTGGTCCAAATAGTATTTCACTTTCCCAGATGATTATTTAATCTCACACCTCCAATAACTTCTTACCTCTACTCACTCTCAGGTGATGGCCTAGCCTTTTATTTTATTGAGAATATAGAGGTCGTCATAGAGAGATCTATGTGCTTTACTCTGACATCTATTAGTCTCTTTTATATTATGTCCATCTAGTCTGTTTTCACTCTAATATAAGAGATATTTCCCTCATTCCTAAGACCAATTCTCACACAAATAACTTTGCCAGAGAAGGAATTCTTTCTTTCCTCCTCAAAGACATTGCCCTGGAGTTGGCCCTGTTCTCTCCTGACCCTCATTTTTTTTTTTTACCTCCCTTCTGGATCATTCTATCCACATACAAACATGCATATTTCTAGCTTGAAGACAAATGAAAACTCTCTTGATCCCACTTCCATCTCCAGCTACTACTTTATTCCTATGTTCTCCTTGGTAAAGTGGCCTGATTTGTTTCTACTCACTGTTTCTACTTCCCCTCTCAATTCTCCAACAAAGTCTGATCAAGCCTTTACTTTCAATGTATGAAACTTAGTCTTGTTAAGGTTGTTGATGAAAACCACAATGCCAAATCCATTGGTCAATTCTCCTGTCTCTTCTTATTTGGCTTCCTAGCATAATTTGACCCCATGGTTGCTCTTACCTTGACCTAAAATTTTCACGAGACTCTTAGACTCCACTGTTCACTGTCTGTTTCTCACTAACTGCTCCTTCTCAATCTTCTCTGTTGGTTCT